TCTCATTTAGATAACTCTTCAATTTATTTAGTATTTCTAAATCATCAGAATCGGAACATATCTCCACGGCAGTATATGCACGAGGACGAAATTGGGAAAACTGCCAGATGATTTCAAAAATGAAAATTTTATGAATACAAATAGTGGCTGTAAGACATATAAATTATAAAATGAGAGCTTCAACTCAAGCTAGTTGGACAGATAGTTCGTCAATTTGGAAAAAATCTTACGTATGATATAGGCGCTAGTGGTGTTCACAGTCGGACGGACAAGCGAACGTTTTGACAAAAAAAAACTCGGTTTCAGGGGACCCCAAAACGTGTATTTCCGTTGAAATCTCGAAATCGATTATTTATTATTTTTCATAATCTTATTTATTATTTTCATAATTTAGTATTATCGATTAGTTATTACTTTCCGCAGCATTATAAAACTTTCCGTATACGACATATAATACGTCGTATATATGTACAGAAACGGCAATTTTCATTTCATATATTTCAAATAGGTTTTAAATAATTTCTAAAAGATTAATGTGTGAATGTATATAAAAAGGTGGAATGTAAGAAACGAGCAGAGCAATATTAAATGATATACAAATTCTGACTTACGAAGCATCCGACTGTGTGGGATCGTTCACGAAGCGCAGTACAATCGCAACCGGCATTTAATTTTGTATTTTAAATTAAAAAAATTATATTTTCAAAAAATTCAACATGACCTTATTTAAAGATCTGCTCTTTGTGAACACATTTCATTTAAAAAATGCACCTTCACAATTGTAGTTGTAGGAAGAGGCCGATTTTTTTTTTAATTTTTCGCAAAATCGCGCATTTTAATGAACATGAGATTCGCGCCGTTCTCTTAAGCGTTCTTTGTGCTCTCTAAGTTCCCATTCATTAAACGTGTGGTTTTTAAGAAAAAGTTGTTTAAAGAAAATAAAAATTGCCTGTTTGAAACAAAATTTCGCAAAATATACTCATATTTTTGAAGAATTGAACATGATCTTAAAGGTCTGTTATTGCTGCACGCATTTCACTAAGAAAAAAAATTCTATATTCATAATTGTAGTAGTAGAAATACTCCGAAAAAATTTTGAAAATTTTCAATTTTCGAAAAATCAAAGTTTTCAACCAACGTGAGATCTAGAATAACTCTGAGACTCTCCTTCCTTCAGACTATCCACGTCCAACGTTCTTCAGACTATCCACCAAGAAAATTTCATGAAAAACAATGGAGGCGTTTTTGAGAAAAAAAAGTTTAAATAAAAATTTAAAACTCTATTTTTCACGAAAAAATCATTTTTTAAAAATTGTACATGACCTTATTTTAAAATATTTCTGTAGGGTACAGCTTTTATTAAGAGAAAAGTCTTTATCTTTAATATTTTAGTTGAAGCCGAAAAAATGTTGAATTTTTTCAATTTTCGACAAATCAGAATTTTCAACCAACATTAGACATGCACCATTCTCTTAAACGTTCTTCAGACTATCCACCAACAAAATTTAATCAAAATCGATGACGCCATTTTTTTAAAATTTTGAATATGTCCCAGGGGCTTTATGTAAAGTATCCCCCAAAGTTAAAATTTGTGTTTTTTTTTTAATTTCAATGGGCCACGACATCAGCCAGGTTGGAGAAAATCGGCTGAACACTTTTGCACTAGCGTTGTTCACAGACGGACGGTCGGACCGACGTTTTGCCATCAATTGCCTTTTCAGTATCAAGGACCTACAAAACCTGGATTCTGCTTACACCACGTGTTTTTTTTCTAAATATAGCAATTGGATTTATCCACTATTTCATTATCAGGGCCCTGAAATAAAAGTTTTTCTGCTGAAAATGCGCTGTTTTTTCGCGTAGTTTTACATTAACTTTCTCTTTTTAAGAAGTTCCTTCTTAAGCGCAAGAAAGTAAGAAAATGGGGCCTTTTCTGAAAATAATATAATTAAAAATTGCCTATATTTTACCCAAAATTCCGCGAAAACCGCTAATATTTTCGAAAAATTGTACATGACCCTATTTCAAGTTCTGTCTGTAAAGAGAGTGTGCAGCAATTAAAAACTACAGTGACTGTGGTGCAGTGGTGGCTGGTGCTCCAACAGACTGGAGGTTGCACCTCCATCGAATGGCGGAAATGTTATTTCAAAAATTCAAATTACGAAAATTAATTAAAAATGTAAGCAATTCACATTAATTTAATCCAAGTTAAATAAAAGTCTATACTGAATCACTACTTACATAATTTTATGTGTCGGGCCTGATTCAGGTATATTATACAATTTCCGCGCACGTGCTCTGGCTTGATTTCCACTGGACACTTAAGTTCGATTCTAGCACATTGCAACTAGCACTATTGTTTCGACACGTTTCACACAAAATTATTTTATTTCGAAAATATCACTACCCTGGTATATTTTGTAACAAAGATCCTTCCTCGCACGCCCATACATTGCGCTCTCCGTGGTGTAACTGCAGTCTGCTGCAACTACCGAGAAAGAGACTTCCTTCCAAATTGACCAATTCTACACAAAGAATTCAAGTGTACATTTTAAATTAGTAAATCTAAACGAAAACATATTCTCTAAACATCATATATATAATACATTAAATGCCGTCAATAATTGACTGAACTTGTGTACTTTCAATGTATGTATGTACTTGGCGCGGCAGTCCGTGAATGGGCTCAGGTCTACGGGCGACGTCCCTGCCTCGCGGATATGGGTTATGGGGGTACGTGTGCACGTTGGCACGTATACATCCCCACGCCGTATTACGGTCTTCTTAACCTGAGAAGTGAATTTTCGCATCGTCACAGAGCAACATATACTGGGACATTGTAAGAAAATCGCACACTATAAATTACTTCTACGGAAATCGAACCCGGGGCCGCGTAGTGGAAAGCGAGTGCGCTGACCAACAGCTAGCCACGAGGACGTGTAATTTTAACATCAAGCGAAATTCATAAAATTACGTTGCAGCTAGTCAGACGAAGCTAGAATTTTGGTATTCCTCTGAGACTCCCTTCGTCGCCGCGTAACGCTAGATAGCGCAACACGTCTGGTTGCCCAACTAAGAGGCCATATGTTGCCCGTGTTAAATCTAAGGGCCAAAGAGTAAATACAGTAAACTTAATACAGCCAAGATACAAGAGTGTGGTGCAATACCTGGCAAGGCACTAGGGACCGGAGAAAGCGACAATTGGACGCTCTTTGGTTTCAAAACGATTTCAAATACATAGATATGAAAAAAATTGTGAGGAGATATTTGCCTTATTTCCCTCCCCGTGGATCCGTGCCTGCAGGATTGAATTGAAAACAAACGCTGCGAGGAAAGTCCCCATACTGACATCGTCACCTCACAAGACTGCACTGAACAATACAGCAAAATATTCAATACTCAAAACAACAAGGAAACAAGTAGCCCGGAAATGCCAATAAGAAATCGCCTTGCAACTCCACAAATAAGAGACGAAACGGAAATAGTAATAATAAGTTGCCACTGAAACTACTTCGATAGGGCTATATCCTGCTTGCGAAATGGAATTGGAGGCCCATCCAGCTGACGACTGGATCTAATGTGATTTGTGTAAAGAGTGGTGGCATGAAAAATGTTCTTACTATTAGGGAGAACATTTTGTGAGTGAGTTTTGTGAGAATTAATGTATACATTATATACTTTGAATTTGTCATGAGATTTTTTATCAGAGTATAATTTGCAATTGAAGACTTTATTATGACCTTTTAGAAACTATATATCACATTTATTATTTTATTAATGAAGTTCTCGTTACATTAATTTAAAGCGTACGAGCCTTGTAAACATTCATTTATTTCTCAGGAAGGGAAGATCTTTTGTATATTTGGACTTTTGTCCCTTTTGTTTGGAACTTTTCCCCGCACTTGTGGCAAAAGTCCGAACACTGCAGTTCCTTCTTTAATGTTTCTTCAGACATCAGATTTAAAAATACGCCACTCTTGTTTGAACAGTGTATTCTTCATACATTAAATATTGTTCTGTGTGAAAACCGAATCAATATACCAATTACACGAGCGGAAACTCCTTTTTTACCAAAAGTGCGGACTTTTGCCTCGTGTTTCCCTACTGCAAGGAAATGTTTATTCACACATGACATTGCTTAACGAACTAGGTATCAGTGGGCTAATTTTGCTTCAAGATTAATTTCTTTTAAGTTTTGTTACAGGATTTCGTAGTTTGCGTTACCTACGTTTATGTTTATTGGAATATTCATTATTTTCATATTCCATAAACAAAAATATTCACGATACATTTCTATAAATTCTGTCCAAAATGTTATATTGGTTTCCATTCTTTTATTAATAGATGAAAAGAACAATCACCACCAAGCGCTATCAAACTCTTGTTTTTTTTATAATAAGGATAAAGAAATTGTATCAACGAGTATGAACACACGTACAAAATTGCATCGCAATCGAGTTGTACTTCATATTTTTGAGCATGCTATACTTCTGAACGGTCCTAATGCTTTGAACGATCGACAGTACAACAATCCCATACACGTTGCAACAATAATCGCTCCAAGGGTTGCACCAACCAAGATTGTACTATTTGTGCTACAGATTGGATCATCTGTGTTCCGTATTAACCACCTCGACCATCCAGATTGGCACCTTTACTTAATAATCGTACGGAATAAATAAATTATAAAACTTCTGCTAGCTAAAATTTTAAAGGGTCATACTTTTTGTGATGTTCCTAGGGTTTTTTCATTTTTTCTCTTAAAAAATAGAGCAAAGTTTACTCAACCGCGTGGGCCGGAAACATAGAAACATTTTAACTTGTTTACATCCACTACTGATCCACTACTAGTATCGTAACGAAATGAGTGCAGGCCCACCCGCAAAATATTTATCCGGATTTTTAACATTGTTTTAATAAATTCAGTCTCAATTTTTATCCATATCCTTTAACATTACTTCAATAAATCCAATCTCAGAACTTTGAACAATACTCAAAAACAAAACGTTTTACATTTAACATGTTGGCATGGATAAATATTATGTTAATCTCTGATATTGGTGTGAAATGTTTATTGGAGACGCGCCTTACCGGAGTGGGTCATTCAAAATAGACCATGAGCGCGTGTTTAAATCTCAGCCCGGGTAATTCGGGTAATTCCTTCAGCGAGGAACACTTGACTGACAGTTCAGTTGAGGTAAATGTTTTAACACAGTATACCATGATGGAAATATGATGTTATTTCCATCATGCACAGTACATTCGAATAAAATCAGTTAGTCAAGTTCATGGGCTTAAATGTAGGTACCGAATAAATTAGATGCGGAATAGAAGTCTGAAAAAATATAGAATACATTCTCAACCTGTCATGAGGAAATGCATGACACGCTCGAAAAACTGACGTTCTGTTCTCGGTTCTAATTGGCTGTACGTGATTTTAATTTCACCAATGGTATTATTTATTTAGTAATGTCAAAAACTGAGATACTTTGGACTCATATGCACTTTCTTCAAGTGAGAACGTGCTAGTCCTGGTCCCCATTAGTGACACTTAAATACTCTCTGGTCACGTTTTAGTCATAATCTTACGATGTTGCCGACAGTGTGTAAATCAGAGAGCATCGAAAAATGGTGTGAACTTCTATTTTCTAACGTGTTTACTACTTCCGAAGATATGTCAGCGGATGTTAGTGTCATAACTACAAGGTCGTACAATCTGTTGTTGCTGTGTGTTTCGGCAAGACGTGTGGAGGGAGTGGGTTGATAATAGAGGACTTTGCACATTATTATGATCCTCCTGTTAAAGTTGTTTTAGGATGTAACTCTACCTGTTGTACCTTAACAGTTGATTTATGTCAGCAACAATGAAGACGATCTCCGATTTGTGTCGATCATTTATTAGATTTAGAGGCTATTCATCATGTAGATGTATCCTTAAATAATTAATAATACTATTTAATTAAAAGAATGTGTGATAAAATTTTGTATCTATTTCCACAACGCGTTTGCTATCAATGTAAAAAGTTTTTTGATCTTATCTGATATTTTTCATGTTAGTGCTATTTAAATAGGTTTTGAAGAGTTGTATTACTCAATTACAGTGTATCCATAAGTCCTTACAGAATGTATAGATTTTGCATCAGCTACGTCTCAGGATTCCACAAAAGGTTTGTTGCAATTTGTTGTTATCTTGGTAATAATTTTGTAATGCAAGTCTTATTATAGCGTTTTTCCACTTTATATGTTATCTGTTTCCTATCTTACTACTGTTTTTTTTTTCTTCAATTTAGCAACATTTTCATGGCAGGATCCATTAAATGTTGAATCAATGCTAACTGATGATGAAATTGCAATTCGTGATAATTTCCGAACATATTGCCAAGAAAAATTGATGCCCCGGGTAACACAGGCTCATAGAAATGAAGGTATTTGAATAATTAATCATAATATGTGTGAAAATGACATATGTTGAATTAAATAGAATATGTATTGATTTAATTTCAGTGTTTGATCGACAGATCTTACGAGAATTTGGTGAATTGGGTGTTCTTGGAGCTCCAATTCAAGGGTATGGGTGTGCAGGGACATCATCAGTTGCTTATGGACTTCTAGCTCGTGAACTGGAAAGTGTGGACAGTGGTTATCGTTCAGCTATGAGTGTTCAGTCATCACTTGTTATGTACCCCATATACGTTTATGGCAGTGAAGCACAAAAACAAAAGTATATTCCAAGGCTAGGTAAGAAAATATACTAACAAAATATCAGTATTCATTTCCATTTGGGAATTTTCAGTGAAAATGATTAAGGAATTGAAGAGTTTCATAGCAGTTGGAGCTATAACCTCCAAAAAATATTTTGATTAATAGAAAGTTGTGATTGTTGCTGAATTATTTTTAAATACTTTACTTTGTTAAACAACTTGCCTCTAACCTCGTACAGTAATTTTTGTTAATTTTCGTAATTCTTACGATTCTTACCATCTTTTTCATTATTTCACAAGAGACAAGCAATTTTTATCACTGCTCATTGTTAGATAAGCTGTTTTGATCAATATTAGATCTTGTACATTTAGAACTTCATTGGGTAACTTCAACATTTTTGTTTTCATGAATAAAGATGGAACACTGTATATTAATTATCATGTTTGTTGTTGTTGTGTTTTTCTTTCTTTCTATGTTTGGATTATAATTCAACAAGGAGGCTAATACAATTATTGAACTTCATACCATTATTGTTTAAATATCATCATCAAATTATAAATCATTTCTGGCTTATGTTCTTGCTAACAATTATTTAGTCTTGTCCTTTCAAATTGATATTGAAAGATTTTCTTTGTTATTAAGTATTATATTTATTTGGTGTAATATTTTATTTAGTGATACTCTAAATGGAAAATATCATTGACTTTAGTTATTTGCTAGAAATACTTAGTATTTCAGGTGATAAGTCATACTATTAATTGACAATTTCTAATGAAATTTCAAATTTGTATTTAATTTTTTTTTCTTCTTCCTCTTTTTTTTCTTTTTTCTTTTCTTTTCAACATTTTGATATTTCCCCCTGAAGTTAAAGAATGAATTATTTATTTTCCAGCAACCGGTGAGATAGTAGGATGCTTTGGATTAACTGAACCTAACCATGGTAGTGATGCTGGTGGCATGGAAACACGAGCAAAGTACAACCCACAAACCAAATCCTATTCTCTGACTGGAAGTAAAACTTGGTAAGTATAGAGATAATAAGAACTGGGAACTCTTTTTCAAGTCTTAGAGCATTGAAAATTTCACTTTTATTGTTGTAGGATTACTAATGCTCCAATTGCTGATGTTTTGCTTATTTGGGCAAGAACTGTTGATGAAGGTAAAGTAAGAGGTTTTATTGTGGAACGAGGTTCAAAAGGTTTGGATACCCCCAAAATAGAGGGTAAATTTTCATTACGTGCATCTACCACTGGAATGATATTTATGGATGATGTAGAAGTTCCTGAAGATAATGTCCTTCCAAAAGCTATAGGATTGAAGGTACTGGTCAAATGCTTTTATTGCTATATGTTGATGAATATAAGTATCAATACATTTTTAAGTACTATTTTGAATGAAAGTTCTGGCAGAAAATAATTAAAGACGAGTCCTTAAAAGTTATTCTTTCTCAAAATTGATAGTTTTAGCCCTCAACTAGTAGCTTGTAGTTGCAAAAAATGGTGTTGAACAAAATCGATCAAAATGGTTTTTCAAAAAGTAGAAATTACAGCGTTCAAATTAATCAAATAATATACTCTTTGAAAATAGTACAATAAATTAAATATTTTAACAAAAAGTCTTAACAAATACTGAAATAATATAGTATAGTATATATGAATACACAGTTCAACACTTCTTGGTTAAAGTAGGGTACACGGTACACCCCAAGTGAAGCTTATCAGAGAGGGGCAGAGGAGGAGGAGGGGAGTCTTTTTAAGCCCCCCTCAAATTGCACTGCATGCTCTGATAGAAATGTAATAAAACTTATGAATAGGCGATTGTCATGGCTCGCACTTCATACCTTTGTTTACATACCAAGAATATTAAAAAAAATTTGCTGTTCCATAACGTGACATATGAAAAGCAAATATTTCATAGTGAGCAGCTTCTTTCATAAAGCTTGGCTATTGCATGATGAGCTGTGTCATAAGCAGTGGAATATATACGATTAAATATTTATATTTTGCAGCTGAAATTGAATCACATTTTATTTTTTTGGATTTTTCCTGTGTTTCTGGGCATCTATCAAAATTGCGGACACCTTTTTAAGACTAAAGGCTGCTTAATTTTGTTTTCAAATTCTGTGCTAATTTGAAATTAATATTATTACCTTAAAGAATTCTGCCCTTCAGTTGTAGTAGTTTATATACAGAATGTTTCAAAATAAATGTCGCAAACTTATAGAATAAATAGAATGATTGAAAATTACTGCTTTCCGTCAGTGAGTATAGAGTGGGTAATTTTATTTAACAGAGTTACATCTATGGCATATGCTCCTTATTTCCAGGCAACTCCTCATGTTTGTCAGGTTATGATTTGACACAGTGAAGTATGTGTATTTCATGTACCTGCTGAATTGAATTGAATTGAATTGAATTGGCCTTATTTTACGTGGCGAGACTCGGGCCATCAGGCCCGCTCTTCCGTCTGACCACGCAAATTTCGCTACGCTCCTTTCACCAACTAGGAGAGAGAGGAGGTATTTCTTGGGCGAGAAACAGGCGATTTGAATTTAGCTCAGAGGCGTCATTTAGGCTTGAGGATCTTTTACATGCAAGTAAATCTACTAACATGGGACAGCCGGCTTTACTTCCCCTCCGAAGGAAGGCGTACGAAGGATTTTTTCGCCCTTAAAAATCCACGGCTTCGATCGGGTTTGAACCCGCCAACTTGGGTACAACAGTCCAGTACGCTAACCGTCACACCATCGCCGCCGCTGAACATTTGTGCATATGTGATTGCCTAACAATGAGGGGTAAATGCCTTATGTGTAACTTCATTCCCATTTTATGTTTATTGGCAGAAAGTGATAATTTATTACTAATGCCCTAGAAGTTGGTGACATTTGTTCTGAGACATCTTGTGTTATACCAAAGTATTTTATTAATGAAAAAATAGATGTATATAGTTTCCTTTAGAAAAAAGGTCTCAGCATGAATACAAAATCATTATTAATTAATATTTTCACCTAAGAATAAATAATTTTAATAATTATCATAATGTTAAAATATCATACTGTCATAATGTAAAAATAACCATACAGAATAGTTCATCAATGTAGCTTTTTGGGGAACAAAAATTAATTTTCAACCTTTTTGAATTTTCAGAATTTTGTAGGTTTTCCTCCATTATAATAAGTTTCACTTTTACTGTTCTTATCCACTAGAATTAATGATAAAATATCATTCACTTTTGTCACTGTACCAGTACAAATAACAGTACTCGGCAATTTCATTACCTTTAATGGAAGCAGGTAGTACACTGTACTACAAAACACAATACAACAGAATTATATCCTCAAAATTTCATGTGCATCTTTTGAAATAAAAACTCTTATGCCTTAAACATGTGTACTCATAACATTACAGTTACAGGGTTAGGTAATTAAATAAGTGAGAAAAAGCATTCTAGCAGAGAAAACAAGTACTACCACCTTTTCGGGAATAGCATTAGAAAACTGTGAACTTTATTTGTTGTCGCACACGCTGAAAAGAAGTTTCATTCAAAACAAAATATGTCATCGCACCCACCTAAAGGGTTAACATGCTGAAATTTTGTTGCTGCATGCTAGTGTGGGCAGGAGGTACTAAACTAAGGCTCTAGGTGGTCGATTATGTGGACAGTTAGTGTCACCCTGTGAATGTCAAGCACATCACTTTTTCAGTTTTCCCAGAATCGTTACTGAGCTATAGGGAATGTTTCTCCCTTGTGCTGAACTGACAGTCTCGTGCTGTGAACATGGAAGTTTAGTCAGAATTGGGTGCAGCAATTTTCATCGCTGGCAGGAATTCGCTTATGACTAAATGTTTTGAACTACTTCCGGATGGAATGTGTTCGGGGGCCTCAAAGAAACTTGAGGTTCATCCATTTTCGACTTCCCTCTCCTAACTAATTTGTACAAACAGTGTTCTTTTAATTTTTTCCCTTCTACTTACTCTAAATACTGGTATATGTAACAAATGTAGCAACTGTTTTCTGTCTTTTTCTTCATTTTTATGAAATTTAAAACAATATTTTGTTTCATTTTTATTTTTCAAGGGGCCCCTTGGCTGTTTACAAAGTGCACGTTATGGTATTGCATGTGGGGTATTGGGTGCTGCCCAATTCTGCTTTTCGGCAGCTCGCCAGTATACTTTGGAACGAAAGCAATTTGGGCGCCCTTTAGCCGCTAACCAAATTGTGCAGAAGAAATTAGCCGATATGTTGACTGAAATATCTATTGGAATGCAAGCTTGTATTCAAGTTGGTCGTCTGAAGGATAAAAATTTGTAAGTACTAAATACTGTGGTAAAGGTTTCTCACTGTGATACAGGCATATCTAGCAATATCCAAGAATATGGAGCTCTAGGCTTCAGCTTCAGGTACTGTGTATGGCAAGGGTGTTTTCACTGAGAGGTTGAGTCACAGTTGGTCTTCTCGCTTCACCATGGATGCCATTTTAACATTATCCCATCTATATTCATTCATCTAGAATTGTTATTCACCACTTGTGATCACCCTACCTTATGTATGCTGTGGAAGGTTAAGATAAACCGATTGGGAGGATTAATGCATGAGCACATGGTCAAGTAAATGGAAAGATGTACAAAGTGGCATCAAATTGCAAGACACAATGAAGTAAAAACCATTCACAATGCAAGACAATCAAGTGATTTTAACACCATCCGAAGATGACTTGCAAAGAGCAGCCTTCAAACTGGATACAGTTAGCAAAGTAAATGGAATGAAAATATCCATAGCAATAACAAAAGCAATAGGATTCAAAGAAAAAGAACACTGCAGAACTAAAAAAGTAATAGAAGATAAAATAACAGAACAAAGGACATCCTTCACTTCCTGAGTAAGTAAGATAAGATCTATATAAAAAGATGACATTGGTGTAAAATTGGAGAGAAACAATAGAATCACTGGAACAATAAGAAGCAAATTTCGAAACCTGACTAAAGAATTAAAAATTAAACTCCATGACATTGCAGGAAACCTAGTTGTATTATTTGGAAATAAAATGTAGATCTTAACCATATGGCCTGAGCCTCGCCATTAATAAAGACATTATTATTATTATTATTATTAACTCGTAGAGACAGTTGATTAGAAGCAGCATAAAAATGAGATAGCCAAGATCACGAATAGTATCAAAGAAAGGAAATAATAAGAAATGATGACAAAAAAATTAATATAATTGAGTCTAAAAATTAAAATCCTAATTAATGAAGTAGGGAAGTACCAAAGGAAGTGGCCAGAAGAGAAAGGTAAAATGAATGAATCCAGATATATTTCCGAAACGGATGTGTCCAAAATGAAATACTGACCAAACGGAACGAGAGGAACCAGGTCAAGGAAAAGATAAAGAGGACCATGAACACCTCAGTAGCAACTATGGTAATATTGGATTCATAGGAACTGGATCCTAGGCCTAATCCAACAATTTCATGACTGTGATTGGCTATGATGACGACATACAGGGATTTTTGGGTGTACAGTAGGGTTCACACCTTTTACTTTTTGAGAATTTTTAATTACTGGCTGATGGGGTGAGACTGTGCCTCATTTTAATAAAATTATGGGAATGTATAAAAATGCAAAAAAGTCAACCTGCATTTATTAACACAATTTTTATAATTGTTTAATATCTACTGCATAGTTATGTGTTTCAATTCTTTTAGGTAGAGGAATCTTACTCTTCACCTGATTTCTGAAGTAACCCATTTCGTTGTTATATACTTGGCTGTTCAGATGCTACATTCCAGGCACAGATGTTAATGTTTCTGAGGTCATACTATGACTTTCCTTTGGGTGAAAAGCGTGGAGGTGGATTGCGCGTAGCTTTATAGAGGATGAGGTTTCCCTCCACCTGGCAGCTGATTTACCGGACAATCAGCTAATGCGGAGAAATCATTGGCCAATGAGGCAACGGTCCATTAGGTATGTTGGGAGGAATGGTCTCCCCGAGGTCAGATGTCAAGGAGCACCCGAAACCACACCCTGATGTGATCAGGCAGAGCAGTAAAATAGATGTTATGCAGGCTTCGAGGAGATGTAGGCCTCAGCCAGAATTTACGTTTTGCAGGTGTTTGATAGATTCCACAGCCTCTTTTAACTCTTGTTTGTTGTTTCTTGTGAGGGTAAGAGGTTTCCTACAATTTTTTCTCTATGACATGGTTTGATTGACTTAGATACTGTGACTTAGTTTGATAATTTGAAGACCTCAGTATCCTCAGCAGTTATGCATTTTCCTGGGGTCACATATACATTTCTCTTCCTCTTTACTTGAATTTTATTTGAGATGTATTTCCGCAAAAAAAGGAAAAAATTGTATGCAACATATGGGGGAAAGTACCATTTGCACACGTTTCCTGGACTTCCAGAATTCATACCCCAACCTTTTATTATACATATTTTAAATGATGAACTATCATCCTGCACCACCATCGACCACCATCAAGCATGGTTGGAAACATTTGAAAAATATAAATCATTGTCTCTAGTAATTCCTGAGTAAGACTTTGTATTGGTAAACAAAATAGCAAGCCACATCCTTGGCTCCACTCCTACCACAACTAGCAAGAGGAAAGCTCAACGAAACATGCACATAGTGAAGTTACATCTATGTCCAGAAGCAAAACAAGTGGTTACCTTAGCATTTGTTCAATGAATCAGGGAAAGTGATGAAAAACCTGACAGAGGGGGTGAGGGAAGTTATTGATTCTGAAGGTGAAGTACTTTAGGTATGGCCATATTTCATTTGTTAAATAATACAGTACAAGCTAATGCATCGTTTTAAAAATAAGTATTGTTTTCCTTTTTGTTGGACAGTATAGTTTCCATTTGAATAAAAGCAATCATGCAGCAGAACACATTTAACTTGGCACATAAACTTGTGTTTTGATTATAATTGTTTAATCTCATCTGACAATTGGTTGTAAATGTACCGGTCTTGTATGTGAATTTCTTGAAGTGAGCTGTTGATACTGACACCTGCTGGTTATCATTTCTGCAATGTGTGTTGTAATTATAAGTATTTACATTGCATGAAAAGATGTTCCCATCCTTAAGTAAGTTTTGACAAAAACTACAGATAGGCCAGGCAATAGGAGCTTGCAACCATGGCTTGTGCAAGTTGCGAGCTCCTATTGCATTGTGACATTGTTTGTTGCTCAGAGTGAAGTTGCTCGCTTTTCAAGGATGTCTAGGTTTAATTCCCGGACAATCTCATGTGAAATTTGTTCCAACAAAATGAGTTTGGCTGATTCACAAGGGCTTACCCAACCCCTGTGAAGTGTACTAAATCCTACCACATTCCTAATTCCTTCCCAATTCTGGCTGCTGGGTAATGACGCAAGAGTGTACAAGAGAGAGGTGTGTATGTGAAGATCCTACCTGGTGGTCCTCTTCATGACTCCTGACACAGCATACAGACTACATACTTGTTTAGTAATGGAGGATTTCTCCGTGCAGTATATAAGACTTCTACGCCAAGTTCTTGTCACCGAAATGTGACTGAACATTGTTACAGAAATTAAACAATGTTAGTAGGATTCTAAGCTCTGTGACGGGAGGCATACAATTTTTCTACAATCTAAAAGTCTAGACATAGTGAACTATATTTAGTTAATTATATGGATTTTCCATTTGAGGTTTGACTGAATTGAGAGACTAGAAATTTTGTTACTTGAAAATCTACCAATTCTATATTGTTTATTTTTAGTGGTGAAGGCAATTACCTGTTTGAATGCAAACCTTCATTGAAGTCATATTCCCTTTGATACTATTTATCTGTTATTGAATCTTGAATTTATCTGTTATGAAACCTATTTGAAATATCAGATTTTGATAGTAAAAGTTTATAGTAAATGACTTCAGGTGATTTTGCAATATCTTAAAATGTTCCAGTAGGCGCTTTATTTTTATTCATTGATAAAGCAACATATTTATGAAAAGAAAATGTAGCTGTATTTGTAGATTTGTATTTTCTATATCTATATTTATAGTCAGAGAAAACTGTTTTTTCTAAGAAATAATTTCCATCTGTATATAGAAAGGTCTTTCTAATATTGTAGAGAAAACTGACAAAACAGATATTGGCCGATAAATTTGAATTTTTGTTCCTTTTTTTTCAACTACGTAGTGTCTTAATTTTTGATGTTTTGAAAATGTCTGGAAATATTCCTGTGCATAGAGAAGCATTGAATATGCGAGTAAACAGGTATATAAAGAAGGCGTACATGTGTATAATACACAATCTGGAAATTCATCTCAACCAACCAAATATTTATTTAGTTCTGTGGTGGCAGCAAAGATCTTATGGTAAGCCATAATTAATGAGGATAAGAGATAACAACCACAATAGTTTAAATGATTATAGATGACTTCTCTTTTAAGCTTATTTCTTATTAATATTTATATTTTAGTTCACTATTCGGAGGATTGCCTCAGAAAAAGTTTTGGAAATGCACACTGAACATTTCTTGGGAAACATCTGGTGTTGAATTTTGTGGCCCTAGAGTGTACGTAAGGTCAATCGCAATTCTTGAACAGTATTGGGTTGAGACTGAGAACTGACTGAGACTGAGAACTTCTGTCAGATTACCTCTCTGTTATTATCCTTTAAAACAACCCTATATAGTTTCAAGATGTCATATTTTTTATGATATTCCTCATTGTTTTAGTTAAGTTATTAATGTTAAAAATATCCTAATCATTTTTCATTCTTTGCTTGTGCTACTATTTTCTTTAAAACAATTTTGTATTTCGAAAATAGATACGTAAATCAAGGAATTTTATGATTTCTATTCCAGCTTACATTCAATGTTTTCAGGACAATTTATTTCACCAACATGAACTTGAAAGTCTGCATGTGTCAATCTATAAACTTCTTTGATACTTTGCTGAAAAACACTCCAGTAGGGAGTGACAAGACATCTACAGATGAACCACACAGAAATAAATATTCCATTGGACATTAAATTTTGATTGGCAGTTCAAATGCTTCACAAGAAAGAAAACTTAAGGAACATTTTTATTGATTGGCACAATGAAAAAACACTGGGTTTTAAATAGTGTCAGTTGGTGTTAGAAAAAATGACGTCTCTATCTGCACTATCCAGAGCTCTTGCCAATCGGCACACTGCCCCTTTAGAGATGTGACATACATTGGTACTGGTACATAGCTGGAAGCCTTCCTTAGGTGTACGGTACCGTACCAAGTCGTAGTACAGTTTCATCATCATCATCATCATCATCATCATCATCATCATCATCATCTTCATAAAAAAATGAACATTTAAGAGAAAAATTGTTAAGGAATGATATTTTGTTTGTCCTCTAGTTATGAACCTGCTGGGAGAAGTAATGCAGATACAATAAATTAGCGTGTATAAAACTAATGCACAAATGCTCTTGAAAATTGGGAACTGTGTTAACTGGTTTAATGCTGCACTCAATATTCATGTAAATGTATTACAAGTTCTTAAAACTTTTAGGGATACTGCAGAAATGATATCTATCCTCAAACGTAACAACTGTGGTAAAGCATTGGAAATAGCTCGTGTTGCTCGAGACATGCTGGGAGGAAATGGTATTTCAGACGAATATCACGTCATTCGACATGTTCTGAACCTAGAAGCTGTCAATACATACGAAGGTTAGTACAGAAATTTGCAACCTGTAAATTTAATGTTGCCGATTTTCGTTGTTTCATTTACGAAAGACTATACTCTGTAGGGTTGTGCATTTACAAGACTTCATTATGTATATATTTTCATAAACTAGTCAATAATTTAATGCACTGACAGAAGCTTAATGTATTATTTTCTTTATCTAAATATTATGAAGTCATACTACTGTTGAAGAATGCTGTTCCTCAAAATCTTATCACTTCTTCACTATTGTCTTTGATTGTTATTTCCTTAGTTCATGCTTCTTCAATCTGCTTTAATTTTGACATTTAAAATAAACATAGTGACTGTTTAATTTCTGAAGTGCTTGATTTTATGTATTAAGGTTTCAGTGGAATAAGAACAAAAAAATAATGAAATTTTTAAAAAATTCCCCCAAACAGTTTGAAGTACTTCTGTCTAGAATGTTTAGGACTAGGAAAACTGATTTACCCATTTGGAAACTCCCCACTGCTCCTCCTCCTCCATTATATAAAAAAAAAATTTCATTTCCTTTTCCAAATATTTCTGGTCACTCCCATCCATTCTAGAAATTAAAACCTTATCAAGTATGTAGTGATGTAATGTAGCAATGTAAGTAATTTATTTTTTCTATGAAGTTGGGGAGGGTCTGAAATCTATCATACACAGAATTGGTTCAAAATATTTGTAAACTTTTTTAAATTATTTGTTTTGCTATAAACTGTCTTATAATAGCTACATGTGCTACGTAAACGTAGGTCATGAGAATATTGAATAGAAAAGATAATTGGGGGAAAAAGTTGCTTTATGAACTTTCCAACAGTGCTTTAATTTATAGTGTTTTAAATTACATTTTAAATCTCATTTTAAATTACACAATTTTTCGTTTTCTAAAAGTTGAAATTTGATTTGGTTTTCTTTCTTTTCACCCAGGATTTGCATAGATTTTATTCCACAAGTTGTTATTACTATATTGAAAATTGTAAGGGGAATGTTACCATTTTTGTAGGATTTCATTGAATTAGCTCAATTACTTTAATTTTCATGCTGAAAACATTGGAATTCATTGATTGCCAGATTTTTGTTTTCAGGTACTCATGACATACATGCCCTGGTGCTAGGAAGAGCCATTACTGGAATCTCTGCCTTCTAAAAAATATATATTGTGTAAATGTTTGTAAATTCTGTTGCCAAAATATTTTGTATTGTCTTAATATTTTCATTATTTTTTTGTTAATTAAAAAGTGCTTCAATGTAAGAAATGTTTTTATTTATTGTATATATTCTCAAATGCACGTTGTCATAATACGTCAACACTAATATAGATAGACAATGTTTGAGTGCCTCTTAAGCTTTAATCTAGCTGTAAATCCTTTTATCACTTTAGATATACTAAAACAAAAGAGACTCGCTCCCAGCGATTTGATCATTCCCCAAGTGAATGAAGTAAAACAATAAACAAGGGACATACATCCCTGTGAATTGTAGGGTTCACATCTGCAATCTTTTGAACTTCAATGGGTCCTTTGTGGTTTAATCATGTTGTGCATCTGAGTTCATCAATGCTTTATTCATTTTGATTTTTTTAGCATTTTCAATGCATGATTACTTTAACCTTGTAACAATTGTTTTAAAAAGTGTCTGGTAGAAGATCTGCAATTGATCAGCATTGGTCAATTGTAAAAGGTCATGTTAACTGCAGATTTGAGATTTAAAAATTGTTATTGATGAGAAGATTAATATTACAGAATTAATTAATGTTTTCTCTGCAAGAATGACTTACAAACTTGAGGTCCCCTATTGCAAGTGGTTGGAAGTTGCCTGAAAGGCAAGGGGCAAGTAATGCCCATGGTGTGTGTGAAACTTTATGGTTGACTTGTTCTTTGCTGAATTAAATAAGAATTCATAAAATCTCTATATTTATCTTTCATCAAAAGTGCACAGAAAGCATGATATTCTGATATGGGATATACACAAATGTGCATTACATTCTTTTTCTTTCTTTCTTCATTGATAAAGCTCTTCTGCATTTGTTTACATGTAATTCATTAAACAAACTTATCAGAAATGGCAACTCATTGTGCATTTGTCTGAGCATGCACCTGAGTCACAGTTTGCTTCTATTACAGTAAATTAAGCACTAAACGTGTGGTGCTGCGACATACTTTCTCTCATTGTTTTGAAACTTTTGCAATTTTCGAAAATGCAGAGCTCAACAAAAATGGAACCTGTGCCATTTCTATAATTTTACATAGCTCTATTCGGAAAAGAAAGAAAAATGGAGCAGTTTTTGAGAAAATACTTTTGAAATACCTTCATTTCAAGCAAAAAGTAATGGTCCTCACCACTAAACATAATACAAAAGAGGCAGAGTAATGCATTTTTAATCAACTGCATACCCACTCGCATTTTTCGTACAAACCTGGATTAAATTTTCTGTTAAAAGATCTCTTTTTGGTTTGTACAAGTTTAATAGATTTTGAGAAGAGGTTTTGTCCATCCAAGGCGTTTGACTGTAAATTTTTTCCTCACATGTATGAAAGGACATTAAAGAACTTTCGCTACTCTCATTTTTGTTGAACTGTATATTTTGGAAATTTACAAGAAGTTGACATAAGAAAGCTACAGAATTGAAGACAGATTTTGCCTAGGAGCCATCTATACATTACATAATGCGAATATGGAGTATTTTGAATACCCCCTCTCCCACCTGTGATGCGATTTAACCCCCTAATAATTGCGTAACACTTGTGACAAACCCCCCCCCCTTGTAAATGGAAGAAGTGAAGATAAATTATAGCTCAGTAATATAATTGTGTTCATTTTATTTGAGTGTAGTAAAATGTATGATAAATAGTCAGAATTAGTTGTCAATTCTTACTGCATCTAATAAGATTAGGGATTCGTTTTGAGGGAAGGAAGGGCGCACAAGCAAGAAAATTTGTGATCACAAGCCACGCACATGCCACTGTTCTGGACAGAGCATGGGACTGTTCTGGACAGAGAGTCTACTGCGCCAATTTAGTAGTAAAAAATACAGAATATTGCAGATAAGATGTGAATATTTTCTTTGTAATCTATTCAGATTCAATACAAAATTTATGAAAAAATATTTTCATTTATCGTAATAACTTCTAATAAATTTAAATTATTTGTTTTAAAATTTAATATTTTAATGTTTTAGTACATTCAGGAAAGGAGGTGTTTCAACAAATGTTAAACTAGTGGTACAGAATGCCACAGACTTTCCCGTATTTGTTTTATATTTCCTGTGGTCTCAACTATATGAACTTGCCATATATTCTTGCCTGCTGCCATCTATCGCTGCCCAAAGTACATTTTTTGACATTTTCCTAATTTGTCGGTTTCCAAATTGTAGAGCGGAAATATTACTTTAAGATTATGAAAGAACAGTAAAACCTTGTCCTAAATGGCAATTGTCTGTGAAAATTTGTAGCTGTTTTTAAAAAACTGGCGTTTAGGCACTACTGTAAATTAGAAATTACAGCTTAAAACATAATTTTTTTAGTTTCAAAATACTTATATTGAATTCATTTTAAGTACTTTAACTCACAAATACAATAGTGTTTACAAATTGCTGGGAATGTGCATATCAATGGCGAAAGAGATCTTTTAAAATATTTACATTTGTGTAATTTTCGAAAAAACAAAAAATACTCCGAAGTTAACTTTACGTCATATTAAAGAGTGCGATTATCACTATCCGTTCCAAATGTTTGAAGAAAACCTTTGAATTCGTTTTTAAGACAATGGCATTTGAGCGTTTCTGAAAATGTGGATTTTTGAGTTAGTTAAAAAGTAAAAATACATTTTTGTAATTTTTGAAAAAACAAATGAATAGAGCAATACGTGGAACCTTTTTGAGAACATCTTGTTCTGTTGGAGAAACAAAATATTCAGGTTGTTGACTGGCCACCATGCAGCATTTGGGCAGAGACAAGACGCACCATGACCGAAAACAGGCCTGATCTCCTGGGACCTAACAACGCCGATGCACTCTGGCATCTAATCCAAAATACCTGGGAGGAAGTCGCTCACATTCAAAACTATGCGGCGAGACTTGTGGATTCTCTTCCACGTATGATGAGAAAGGTAGTAGAATCTGATGGTTTTTGGATTCCTTATTAATGCATTCCTTGTATTTTTTAGAATAAGATATTTATAAATAAACAATTAATGTAAAAAATTAGAATACAATTTTAAAAAATTTTATTTGGAGAATTAAAAACGAATATTTATAGAAAGATATAGAGCCCTGTTCAGAGTTATTTTGTTTTAAAATAAAAATAATTATTTATTTACGCTAAGGAGAGAGTACTGGTAATTTGACCAAAAAAATCACGGATACGCAAGAAAAAAATGCGGGCAAGCATTGGATTCGGACCTGCTGCCTAGAGTTCTGGAACAAAACGAGTCTACCGCTGACCCAAACGAATACTTAGGTATTTTGTTTACTTGCAGAAATATTGTGTCAAATTTCGAACAACGTTTGAAATGTCCAACATTTTTAGACAATTACAAGTAATGTTGATAAATGGCATGTCTTCTATCAAACGGAATTAAAACATGAATTACTGAAGTACATACATATAGCTTGCATACAGGAAGTCCCATCAACTATGGGCAACCCTCATAACTTCTAAACTGTTCGCAATGTCTTCGCCTTCTTACAGTTTTCGCTTAACAATGTGGAATCATGGAGCAAGTGATATGGTGTATATTGTTTGAAATATTTTTATTTTTCGACAAATTTAATCATCTTTGATTTTTTAAATGGAGCCATATATTTTTCTCACTAGCAGTAGATCATAAAAGGAGGGATGCAATGATGTCACATATGTTAATATTTTGATAGTATAGTGCGTAAAATTATACTTTCTGACTTGGGATTTTAAATTAAACGAGAATTTTTTTTACAGTAGCTGTCGTCGTAACTGTCGCTTTTGGCGAACGTGACCTTCGCGGCCTCTCCCCTCTCCTCGTAAAAGCGCCGCGAAGGCAACCCTTCGCAAAGGAGACAGTTGAAAGGATTGCTACAGGAAATCTTGTAGTTTTAATTTAAAATCACATGACGGAAAGTATAATTTTATACCCAAAATACTATCAAGACATTAATATGTATTACATCATTGCATTTGTCTATTTATGATCAAGCTATTGCTAGTGATATAAATACATGGTTCCATTAAAAAAAAAAAAAAAAAAAACTGGTACGATGGGCCACCTCCTAGTCGTCCATGTAAAAACTAAGAAATGCTAAAAGGCCTAATCATGAGAAAACGGACGGTAACCGGAGACGAACTAGGCAAAGGAAATTGATAATGAATATTGGAACATGGAATACTCAAGGTTTGGGAAATAAGATTCAGGAAGTAATAAGGAAATTCTCATAAAATACACCGTAATGGAGAAATGTTACAAATCGTTAATGAGAGATCAAATTATTAAATGCTCACATAAGTGCTGTCTGTGGGATTAAAGTAATGTTTCTATGGAAAATTATCTGAAGAAAAAACTAATTTGGTTGATTAATTAGCATTACGCACTATTATGCAAATTTATTCATCACTATGGACCAACATGAATGCACCGGACTATACTGCCCGGCGCTAACGTGCGACGCAACTGTCGCCGTTTGAAGTTCTCTAATTCGCCGATCTCTCTTCACTCCTACACTTCGCTTGGTCGGGTTATACATTTTAATCACTTGTTTTCGTTTACTGAATGTGGAACATTTGTTACCTTGACATTTTAATCCAATACTCGTCGTTCTTTACTACATTTGGTGACCAGTTCTTTTGGACTTTGGCAGGAACTTAATTATTTAACATGGTTATTCCTTTCCCCTTTGAGCGTTTCTGAAAGAACAGAATTTTGCGCTATTTTTTACAAAAAAGGGTTGTGATATGACATTATTCAAAGCACATGTAGTCATAAATATAGTAATTTGAGCACACTGCCGCTAATATAAATATGAGCGACTGGTGAGAGAAGTTAAAAAATTATACATTTTCGTAATTTTTGAAAAAAAAGAATAGAGCGACATGGCTATTCTGTCATCTTATAGAGTCTATTTACCACTATTCCTACCAAAAGTTGAAAGAAAAAATTTGGAGTCGGTGTTGAGAAAATCTGGTTTTTGAAATTCTTTAAAATTGCACACATTGCACGCAATATTCCACAAAAACTACTAAAATTTTCAAAAAAGGGACATATCTTAATAAAAGAACCCACTATGAAGAACAAATTTTTATTTCGGGGGAAAATCAATGTTTTGGTGTTATTGGTCCCGCT